ATATATCCATTCATAATGACTCCAATAATAATGACCTTCCTAATATTAGTGATAATGCTGATAATTTTTCTGTTTATGATAAGCTGGTAGAGAATGATAAAACTGTAAATATTGTAAAAAGGTTGCAAGAAGCAGCAAAAAAATATTATCAAGAACATATCTATCATAAAGAACACAGACTGTGTTATATTGGTAATTCAAACTGCACTAAAAGAAGAAAGAATCAGCAACAGCGTGAAGCAGCAAAGGTGATTCTTACGTTAGATACTTTTTGAAGTACTGAAAAATCTACTGAGAATATTAATGTAGAAATAGATGATAGTACTAGTGAGCAGTTGGATGATGAAATTGAGGATTATAATTGGCATAATAGGATCTTGACTGATTTCAAAAATCTGAAATTAGATATCAAAAAAGAAAATACAAATAGTGAGATTTGAATGTATTTAAATAGCATTTGTCTTTACCTTTAACTTGTAAAAAACAACTATTCAAAAATGAAAGCAAGTAATATTGTTATTGATGTAGCAGGAAAAGAAGTATATCACGTCAGATATGTTCATTCTTGAGTATATAATTATGTAATAACTCATCAAATTTTTCATTTCTGCTGAGAACATTATGCTAAGATTTGGAGCTTTTTTTGGGATAAGGATATCCTTCTTCAAGTAAAATTATATATTCAGAAGCATAAGTGAGACATTACTTTGCAAATGCTAATGATACAGATGAATGAGATCATTTTACCAGAGTTTGAATTTGCGCTATCTCTGACTATACTGTGAAGAATTATTTGAAAGAGTTAGGATTAAAGATGACGTTACAACTGGTTGCAACCGGTGACAAATAAGCATCACAGGATTGTAACTAGTTGCAACATTAATAAAAATTGAGTTGCAACTAGTTACAACTAGTGACAAATAAGTATCACATAGTTGTAACTAGTTGCAATACTATCTTTAGTTAGGATATGTGTATATTAAGGTAAAAAGGTAATGTATATAGATGGATATGAGAGAGAAGATGTGATAGCCTATCGAAAAGTATTTTTAGAACAAATGAATGAACTTGAGAATAGAATGCCTATTTTCTCAGGAGATAATCTGAAAAAGATAACCTGGCTAGATAATAATATACAACCACTTATCCTTGTTACACATGATGATTGCATTTTCTCAGTTTATGATAGAAGTTAGAGCCTTTGGATTTTTATTGGAAAGCAATCTTTACGAAAAAAAGATAATGGTCGCTTAATTTATGTTAGCGATTTCTTAACTAAAGTATATAACCATCTTGCCTTTTCTAACGAAATACAAATACCAGATGTTCCTAAAGAAGCCTATATTATTATACATCTAGGAAAAAATAATGATGGATGGTGAAAGGCTGAGGACTTAGTAAATTAAGTGATTGAACATGCTATACCTATATTTAAAGCACGTTTTCTAGGATGCCAGGCATTGTTTGCATTTAACAATACATCAAGTCATGCTGCTTTTTCACTAGATGTACTCATTGCCAAATATATGAACTTTAACCCTAAAGGAAAGTAGCCAAAGATGCACAGCATATATTTTAGTGATGGGATTCAACAAAATATAGTTTTTTCATTAGACTATCATATTCCTAAGTTATGTGAACAACTAAAAGGATTAAAATAAGTTTTGATGAAAAGGAGATTGTGGCCAAACGAAAGATTAAAATTAAAAGAAATACAAAAATTAATGAGTGAGCAACTAGACTTTTTAGCACAAAAGGAATGACTAGAAGAAGCTATTATTGCAGTTGAATATTAAGTTATATTTTACCTCAAATTTCATTGTGAGCTGAACTATATTGAAAACTTTTAGGATGCAACCAAAAAATTTAGTTGACTACATTGTGATTATTCATGGATAAGATTACACAAAACTGTTTTATTAGCTCTTGCCTCTGTTTTACTTACAACTATCTGCTGGTATGTAAGAAAAGCTTTTCGTTATATAGATATATATCAGAAAAGTTTAATAGGCAAAGCAGCAAAATTTGCAGTTAAAAAGTATTGTTCATACTATCAGATTTCTGATTCAGTCTTATAATCAGTTGATATTTAGTAAATTAGTTTTTGTTTGCATAAATTTATTCGCATTGGCTATAGGCAAAAAAAAAGAGAAAAATTAGTATTATGCAAATACCGATAATAACAATTAATGTAAAAAACTTAATAAACTTATTTTTTTTTAAATATTAATGCTTTTAGATTTTGAAATGAACATTTTATTATAACAAAACACTTTACTGTGACAGAACATTTTATTGTGACAGAATAGGAGACAAATTTGTTTTATTCTCAGCAAAATACAATTAAAAATAGTCCAGTGCAAAATGTAAATCAACCAATCAATAATAGGAATTATAATCACGTGTATCACAAGTAAAGCGGCCAAAATATCTGATTTAATAGTAAAATAGTCTGACTTTGAATTGCTAATACTCTACCAAAAATCATTTTATAAAAAAACTAAAATTATAGTTTTGTTAAGTTTGAGTTACTCTATTATTCTATGATTATATTTTATGCTTATTATTTTTTTTGTGAGTAGTAGTAATTTGAATTTTATTAATTTTATTTATTAGGACTAAGTTGTTTGCACTGTATAATAGAAAATATGTATAATATAATAGAAAATATGTAATATAATAGAAAATATAAGAAGCATAATGTAATTTATTAATGAATCTACTTTTTATGTATTATATGCAATTTTTTAAAAAATTGAAACGTTTTTTTTATAGAATATTTCTAAGTTAAATACTTTTAATAAAACTAGTTTTAGGCTAAAAGAAAGATAAAATATATATTATAGTTCTTTTTAGTCTTAATGTAACAGAACTTGATAAACTTAAATCATAGGTAATTGAAAATGCAAAGTATTTGAGATTTCTTTTAAAAATTAATTTAACATATCTTTTAGTTTATTATTGTAAAAATAAAAAAAGCATAGATGAACTCAATGGTTATAAACAGATGCTTTATGAAATAAATAGCTACTTTAATAAAAATATTTTACTATTAGTTAATAATACTCTATTATATTTCAATTTACAATATTTATCAGCAAATAGAAATTGAGTAAGATGAACAAGATAAGCAAAATAAAAATAATATTGAAACTATTTGATAAGTTTTTGTTAATAAACTTATAAATTTAAAACTTTATTTCTGAAATTATTTGTTGAAATCTTTTTAATAAAAAATCAAGATTATATTGATGCTTTAAGTAGTCATAATGATAAATAGTAGATCAAGTGATCATAATAGATATTAAGCTAACATTTCTAATAGTTAACTTATATTAAAGTGGCTTTCTTATTATTTAATACTATAAATCACTTCTAATAAATTAATACCAAAATTATTGTAAGTTTTAAGAATCATTTCAAAAGAAAATACTATCAACATATGTTGGATCTTTTTGAAAATGGAAGAATATTAATAAAGAGAAGATTAATATTAAGAAAATAATAAACTATATTAATAAAATATAATATTATGTAACTATTAGAAAAAAAACTGAAATTTTATTATTTTTAACTAATAAAGAAATAAAAGCAGAATAACTCTAATAAGAAATAATAGATGATGAAGGAATAGATATTGTTTAAATAATTAATGAACTTGATATAAATAATCCTTTAGTTACTTATTAGCAGATATATTAAATAGCTTCTTCAATGATTTAGAAAGAATTCTAATTGAAAAAATCTTAAATGATGATGATATAATATGAGTTAATTCAAGATCAAGAGAACAAAAATAATGAAAATAGTGATTCTTAAGAAGAATAAATACAAGTGTCTTCAAGTAATACTTTCTAATCCTTACAAATTTGGATGATATTTTTTGAGTAATGGAAATAGATGAATTTCACATAGAAAATATGAAATTTTTGAAAAATACTTTAAAATAGTTAAATAGCTTAAATAACAATTTCAAAAGCAAGTTTGCAATTACAAACTTTTTAATATTGATTAAAGGATTTTGATATATATTAGCTTTTATGATAATAATTGAAGATAGTGAATTTAATATAATAATATTAATATTTAATAATAATTATTTATATAGCATTTAAATAATATCTGATATATAATTTGTGTTTTGTATTTAATGACTAATAAAATAATGTTTACATTTTATACATAATATTTATAAATATTGCTATTTTATTAATTAATCTTTATATAATTATTATGTATAATTTCTAATATAGTAATGATTATATGAAGATTTCCTATATATAGCTATATAATTACTGATTTTGTGAAAATTAATTAAATAACTATATAGGTGTCTAACTGTATTATGTTGATTTATTTATAATATATTCAGTAGGACAAATATGGGGGTTCTGGGGTCAGAATTCGAAATTATATTCAAGAAGGTCCCCAATCATATTTTCAAAGCCTTCTAGCTATACGAATCCTCTATTGAATTTAAAGTTCTAATCCAAATTTAAGCTTTTCTCGCTATCCAAATATTTGGTATCAATTTTGGCATTAAATTACCCTATAGGATACCAAGAATAAAATAATCTCTTATAGCCTTTTTAGCCCAATTTTAATCCTAAATAATATATCAAAAAAAATATACAGTAGCTGACAAAAGAAACGCAACAA